TGTTTATTTCTAAAGTCCGTGAAGACACCGGATGGTTATGCTTCAAACATTTCAGCAAATGTGCATATTGAGGACAGGAAAATTTTGGGACTCAAGACACATGACCATCATATTCTATTGCATCAACTTCTCCCGGTTGCGTTGCGACATGCTGAGAAGGAACTCGCGATGGTGGTAATAGAATATTGCGGTTTCTTCAAGCAGTTGTGCTCCAAGGTGATTGATGTCAGGGAGTTTGAAGAATTAGAGGGACGTGTAGCCAATACACTGTGTAAAATGGAAATTCTATTTCCACCCTCGTTCTTTACGGTCATGGTGCATCTCACAATACATTTAGCATATGAAGCCCGCATCGCAGGACCAGTTCAATATCGCTGGATGTACCCTGTGGAGAGGTATTTATTATTATAATGCTCAATTAATATTTGTTAAATTACGTATATCAGTTTTATTTTGTCACAAATCATGAAACTATATGCTTGTAGGTATTTGGGTTTCATGAAACATTTGATGCATAATCGTGCACGTCCTGAAGGATCGATAGCAGAGAACTATATAAGTAATGAGAGTTTGAATTTCATCTCTCGTTACTTGCGGGGTGTGGAGACAAGGCTCAACCGTCCCCAACGAATAATTGACGGAACATTCTATAATGATCGTGGGGAGGACACTAGATTCCCCAGAATGGAGCTAGATCAAGCCCACACATATATCTTGAGCAATGATACTACATTTAACATATACGCGACGTAAGTATTTAACTGTTTGAATCAGATCATATCACATCACAATAACTATCTCTATTTAACTGTTGTAAATGATTTTATTCTAGGCTTCACATCCGATATGTCCAGACTATTCTTAAATGCAGAACAAAAAACAAAAGAGTTATGGACACACACTCTAGACAATTCCCTGCATGGCTGAAGGGTGAAGTAAGATTTATTTACATTTCTGATTCGTATATCAAATATGTGCCTGCCAACAGATATTTAAACTATTTGTTTCTTTTCTTAAAGGTTGACCGACGTATTACGAATGGGGTTAACCTGCCTGAGAAAATATGTTTATATGCCAGAGGTCCTTCTAACGTGGTTAAGCGTTATGGAGGCTACTGTATCAACGGCTTTAGGTTTAACACCATCGGTTTCGAAGAGAGACGACAAACGCAAAATAGCGGTGTGTTCTGCTCCTTCTCGCAACTGTCATACGCTAGTTCAAAAGATCTAAATCCGATACAAGGTGAAATCTATTGCTACGGTCAGGTAGAAGACATTGTGGAGATTTTCTATGGGATTAATAATGAAGTCAGACATGTGATGTTTAAGGTTCGTTGGAGTGAGCTGAAAAAGGCGAAGGATGACTACGGTTACACACTCGTTAATCTTAACAAGGAAATATATCAGACTGAAAAGTACATGTTAGCTGCTCACGCAAAACAGTGCTTTTATGTCAAAGATATAATGAAAAATGACGAATGGGTTGTCCTTAAGAATCCGCCTAGATCCTACATTCATGAAGCCGTGTCTGATGAAGATCATGAAGATGTTATCTTGGCCGACGAAACAGTTGCTGAGTTTTCATTGACACAAAATAATCTGGTGGATGAAATTGCACTGGCGCGCCCTGATGTACCTGCGATTATATGTGAGCCAAGGCGTAAAATCAAAAAACGAGTCCACGGTAGAGTCGATAAAACTATAAGGACAGTCCTTTTGTCGGCACGCACACGGTCGCAGGCTAACCGCACACGGTCGCCGAGTAGAGCCTCAACATCATCAAGTCCTTTTGTCTGCACGCACACGGTCGCAGGCTAACCGCACACGGTCGCAGAGTAGAGCCTCAACATCATCATAATAATATAATGCTTGGTTATGATTTAAAAAGAACATTCATGTATCTGTTTGACTGGTTAACATGTATCAGTTTGTGTTATGTATTATAGTATTGCCTTTATATTATCTGTTTGACTGGTTATCATGTATCAGTTTGTGTCATGTAATTTAAAAAGAACATTCATGTATCTGTTTGACTGGTTAACATGTATCAGTTTGTGTCATGTATTATAGTATTGCCTTTATATTATTTGTTTGACTGGTTATCATGTATCAGTTTTTGTCATGTATTATAGTTTTGTTGGGTACTCATTATGTTTTCAAAGTATAGATGACAAAAGGATTACGTAAGAGAGCGCTTGAGAGACTTATTGGTAGACATTCTGGAGGCGACGCACATGGCTCTACGTCAGGTATTTTTATTTATTTATTATATCTGTACATTTCTATAAACTATTAATACGAGCCTAACATTATTTTTTCACATTTCCTACGCAGGCCGCATCGCTGCTACACATGACGGGCCGCCACAGGACACAGGATCAGGAGATGCTCCACCTGATGCGGAGACACTCGTTGATCCTGCCCAGCATGCAGATGTATTGGAGGAGCACCGATATGAGCCATATAGCGCAGCTGTAGAAGCTGCGCCACTACCGCCGGATTCTATTCCGGATCAGCGCGCCCACGACCCGGCCAAGGTGAAGGAGGATTGGGATGCTTATCATGATTTGCAACTTATCGCACAACAGAGGTATGAACAAGCAAGGCGTAGATGACTCGAATTGAAAGGTGTGTATAGATTTTTATAGTTTATCTGTTAATATTTTAATTTGTATTATCGATATTGATTGATTTATATTTCGCCTGAATTTCATTTTTTCGTAGGTACCGAGCGACCTACTAGGCGCGGCCGCAGTGGTACCAAGCCAAAGAACCTCGTCCCAGATATTCGTCGGAGGGCCGTGATCCGATGGCAGAACGGCGTGCCTGTCGGGCCATTTGCTAACTCTTTCAACAATTTCCTCGCCGCTTTAGCCAGGAGACATGATTTCTTCAACATATATTTGACGTGGAAGTCGCAGCGGATTGATGCGCTGGTGGCTTGTTGGCGATATATATGTGTGAGTCATTTATTTTATAGTTTATATTATTTTGTTTAACACACTGATTTGTATCTCTTTTTTCATTGTATGCTGAAGCGATTTTTCTTTCTTGACGATTACGCTTATGCCTGGACTTACTGCTTCACGCAAATCAATCTATCGTTCAAGAGGTGGCGGTCAGAGCTGAAGAAAAAATATTTTACTCAAAGAACAGAAGATTGGGAGCGTTACTGGCATCTTGACGAGCACGTAGATGGAGTAGATTTTTTTGCACTTTGCGATTATTGGGACACGGCCGAAGCTCAGGTATTATTGAAGTATATATCTTCGTTTATTGTTTGAAATTCTATATTATATCTGTTTAACATTCTTTTGCAGGAACAAGCTGAAATAGCAAGGAGGAACCGCAATGCGCCCCGCAGTTACGAGCATCACGGGGGCTCCAGGTCCTTCAGCCAGCATTATCATCAATTGGCGCTTGAGGTATATAATATATTAGCTCTTAGGTTATCAATTTGAGTATAATTTATGTGTTAGCCACGTCAGAAAACAGTGCCACATCAGCAGCTTAAACAAAGATTAATCCATTGCATGCAACGCACGTGACGAGTTCTCGCCGGAAAAGTAGTCGCCTACGAGAAAAAGGACCTAATTGGTAATTTTATTCAATTAAAATGCCTTAACGCCGAATTTCCTAATTAAAATACCTTCTTGGCAAATGGGGTTGAAATAAAATACCAATATGGGTATTTAGCCATTAATTTTGATATATAATTTTTTAATATTAAATTTGCTAAATAAATATATTTTTTATTTTGCAGAACTAGACAAAGAACCAGCTCTTTCAACTTTTAAGAAGAGGATTAAATAGAGAAAAATAATTAGTAATTATTACAAGTTTTCTTAATGTTTTGCTTATTACGTCATATGACTGGTTGATTAATTAAGAACTTTTTTAGTGATACGTCATTTGCGAATAATATTTTTAAACATTAAACTGTCTTATATCTTAATTTTATTCAAGTTGTATTTAGGATATTTTGATTATCTTCATTTTATTCATTTATTATGAAAAATTAGTTTAAATGATCTTAATTTTAATATTATAGCTTTATATAAGTTGTTTAATATCATTACTTCCAGGCGGGTACATATTATGTAACCTTAATGACATTGGGTGAGAATGGGATTTACGTGTTTCGAAGAGGGTTAAGTTGTTAGATCTTTAAAATTATATTTGGATAAGAGTGATTGAAATGCAACGAGATATAGATGAATTGTGATAAGACCGTGCTTAACACAGGCTAAAACACTAGTGGTTGTTAAAAAAGTTTATAATTATCATAATATATTTAAAAAAAATTAGATACTTCCATGTGTGAAACCTTGTTGGCTTCAACATTTTACCTTCCAGAGGAATAGTGGAGTTTAAAGTCTTAAATTGTTAATGATTTCAGAGCAATTTCAATGATTTGAAGGACTAATTTTAAAATATTAATGACATAAGAAACCAATAACAAAAAAATTCTTATTATTAATAAAAAAATTAAATTCTTCAATTCTTCAAGGAAAAATCATAGGTTTTATTGAATTTTACTTAGTTATTAAAAAAACCACTTCCACCTCTTGTTTACTGACGGGGACCAAGTATTATAGTAATTCAAAAGCTTTTTTCCAAAACTCACTGTGTCAAAATTACAAGAAATTTAATAATGAATTTTTTTCAACACTATATGTACATCAAACTAAATTATATGAATATCTATACAATTATTCTCAAGAAGTATAACCTCCAACCTTACTTCTATCAGCTCTATATAAATCTTCATGCCACAAAAATAAACGACATAGAATTATGAAATTTTGTTCACCTTTGTTAAGCTCGCAACAAGCTTACCAGCCATTGACAGCCTACCTCTGCCATTGAACGAAATCTGTAGGATGTTATAATCTTTTAATCACAAGAAAAATAATTTTACGCAAGGAAAAGGAATTTTTTTTATCCAAAGGCATAACGTTCACTATGGAAAACACAAAAAATATTGCAGCAAACAATTTAGGGAACAAACATGATGAAGATGTACTCGGATTCTTGTCAGAAACCAAAAGTTTCAATTTTTAGCAGTAAGTAAAGCTTGTCGAAATGTCTTACAATAGATTCTACATAATGTCCTATCCACGCACCAAACCTATACAATTGGTGGTTTAGTTTTTGAGCGATATAAGGCATCTATATGCAACTATTTTTTTAGGGGCATAAAACAATCCCTCTTTTAATGCAGTGATTTCTCAGAACTGCTTCTCTATAGTTTCTCTCCTAAAACAGTTAAAATTTCAATCAGCGCGAACCACAACGGTTTGAGGCCTCAACGGTCCAATAAGCAAATATGGTGATACAACGATGGAGGCCATAAATAAGGTAAACTGCAAAAAACAGAATTTGCATTAACAACATGTAAATATATAATGATAATCAGCCTCGCATAACTTTGTTAGAAAAGGATAAATTTCACTAAACCCCCGATAACTTTGGGCATTTGACACTTAAAGCTAAAAGGAAAGAATTTTTTTACTAAACCCCCAATAAGCTTGGGATTTCCGAAACCCCTAAAACATTCAGATCTCTCTCACCTAACTCTGGTAATGGCATAAGCCCATATCCAAAACAGAAAATATCACATAAGCATCACAAAGTGATAGTTAGGATTTATGTGAAAAAAATCAAAATGTTTCGGGTTTTTTTTTTTAATATCCAAACTTATTGGGGGGTGGGGGTCTTGGTGAGGGCTAATGAGAGTCTTATACTTTTTGGGGATTAAGTGCCAAAGACCCAAACTTATTGGGGGTTTAGTGAAATTTACCTTAAAGAAAGAGAAGCATCAAAGAAAATGTTACCAAAAGTGGGATGGTTAAAACATTCCAGATAGGCCACAGAGCATACGATAACCTGAAAGTAACATGTTAACAAATTGAGATTCGAGCATCAGTAAAATACAAAATGAATAGAAAGAGAACAGGATTAATGTGTTCTACTTACAAGCAAAATGAGATGAATCCAAGAACAATAAGCAACGGTGCAGCAGAAGATAAGACTTCTGATTTCTCAGAAGATTTTGGTGGGCATGACGATAAGAAATATGTTGTATATACAACAACGCCTACATTGAGAATAGCACTTGCTAAACCAAGGTGCAGAGCAGCCCTGCAGACAAATATAAGAATACAAATGAAGAACAAATTAGAAAAATACAACAAACTGGCAAAATTACTTTTTCCTCTTTTGGAAGTAACATGTGACACTTCTAAAGATACTCTGACACAAAAAAATCCTAAGTTGTTAAGATTGAGGGTTATTTCATTCTCTAATATCCCACTGCAAGTTGAGTATCCTATGGGCCCAGAATCCTTTAAATCTGCTTTTATTATGTGGCTAGTGTCTGGTGGGATTTGAACATGGGTTGCTCATATCTTAGCTTTAAGTCCCTTCTATGCTATGATAACGACATCAAAGTTCTGATATATTAGATGCGGCTTTAATATGGTATCAGAATTGTCCGAGTTCAAATTCTATTAGACAAAGTGGAATCTAAAAGAAGCACCGTTGCATAATATAACTCAAGTTTCGACCTATGAGAAAGATGCCAAATTGGCAGTTGTGTATTCAAGAATAAATCTATACCTGTCAAACCTTCATCAAAACTGCGGAGTTTTGATGCAGTAGATTTTAAGAGACAAAACTCCTCAAGAAGAATACTAACTATATGCACACTTAGAAAACCACATTCTCATTAAGGAATATCAAGGAGCATCTAAACAGGTATAGCAGGTGGTTCTTTTTATCAATATTTACTAGAGAATTTGATAGTGACAGAAGATAAAATTTAGCAATAAATATTGTTGGGTTTGTGCCATGGTTTTAAAGCATGAAGGAAAAGTCAAGGTGGATTGGAGAGTAACGGGATGGCTATCAAATTAAATTAAGATGTGATTTCTTACTACTTTCAAGGCCTTGTTTGCTATCAAGGGTTTAGCAAAATTATAGACGTTTGTTATACTTAGCTTTCTAAAATCAATAAAGAGCTTCCATATCCGATTACCCTCCACCATTGCGTCTCTATGATGATATTTTGTAGCCACTTCTTTCAACTACCATCCCTAAGTTATCTTATATCAGCTGGCACTGTTTTAAAAAACTTCCGCCTAGTCCGCTTAGACGTACGTCTAGGCCTAGGAGGTACCTAGGCCGCCTAACTAACGCCTAGTGCTTAGGCGGTATTTAGGCTACCCACATAGATTTTACGAGCGTTTAGGGGAGCATTGTCTGCTTACGTGGATTGCACCCTGTAGGCATTGGTTGTGATTTTATGTGTTGTAGTCTATACGTCCTCCAAACTCCATTAACCTCCAAATATGAACACATTCACTACTTCCTCCGATCTTCAGCAAAACCTCATCGACCATCACTTAAATGAAGAAAGAAATCCGCCTAGACACCAGTCCAGCATCTAAGCTTTCTATAACATTGGCATTCACTATCAATTATTATAATTAAAAATAAAAATAAAAACATCATAGGCTCTAGCCTTGTTAATTATTATTTTGGCTATTTAGTATCTAAGTATGCATGATTTATTGTGGAACGGCTATTTAGTATCTAAGTATGCATGATTTATTGTGGAACTAAGATTGCTATCTTTTTTTAAAAATTTATATGAATTTAATACATATTTTTATCAATTATTATAATTAAATAATTTAAAAATAGTCAAACGCCTGGGCACACGCCCAGGGGTCTAGACGCTAGGTGCTCGCTCAAACGCCTAGTCTGCCTAGCCCCTTCTGTAACACTGCCGAGCTCCCTCGATCTCTGTAACTACTAATAAGGTAAATAGTACTTCTTAAATATCTATTTAAGTTAGTTAACAACAATAACTTAAACTTAAGAAGTGTAAGTTAACAGCAACTTAAGTTTAAGTTTAAGTTCAATTTAAGTTTAAGCTAACAGTAAACTTAAGTTGAAGTTTAAGTTTAAGTTAATATTAAGTTTTTTGTTGATGGTAAACTTAAGTTAACAATATTTTAGTTAACAGTAAACTTAACTTTAAGTTTATTGTTAACTTAAACTTAACAGTAACTTATAAGTTAACAGTAATTTGAGTTGAGAATGAGGTTTTCACTGTTGAGATGTACTTATAATTTGAGTTGAGAAGTATAAACATACAAAGAGCTATTGTAATTGGTAAACCAAGCAATTTAG